CACTGTAGAAGTTTGCTGGAAAAAAGGATTGAGATTTGTAGATGACTTGAAATGGCTTACTGTAGATGTGCAAAAATGAATTTTAAGTCTCTTCTAGGGCCTACAGTCGGCCTGTCACTCCACACTGAGGGTGGTTTTACACCTGAAAGTCGAGTTAAGAATCATAAAAAACTCTGGAGAGTTTAGGCTGATGTGAAAGTATTCCAAGCTAAACCCTAATGAAGCATTTTTGCATTAGTATGTAGACACAGCGGACCATAAAACCGGTTTGATTTGAGAGGCCATATTAGACTTGTTTAAGTTTTATATCTTCCACTGTGAAATCTCTGTAGTAGCGTTGCATGATTTACATTCCTTTGGTCTGCAGTTTATTTTCATCATTCCAAAAGGGAAACAGGAGGACCAAGGTTGCAGATACACAAACCATTGTTATGATAAATAAGCACTTTCCTACCATCACTCAGAAGATTTCAAACTTTTCTTCTAAGAGTGTGAAAATGGCACTGTGTCTGTCCTTGGTGTTCACAATGATTTCTCTCACAGACAGGCACAGCTGCAGATTCAACATGTTTAATCAGCTGAAGAACGAGGCAGAAAAAGGCAGACTGGTGCTAGCATGTTCATGAAAAACTGCAAAAAACAAGAGCTATAGATGCTAAACAAAGGCCTGTCATCTGATTTTATTTTAATTTTATTTTACATACTATTAATCCCTGAGGGAAATTCTGGTTTACACTGTGTTACTGAGGGACATGCTTCTCACACACATACAGTAGGCCTGAAATGCACACATGCAAGAAACAGGACCTGTGGACATGTATTGGTGGAGCGGCGTCAGAGTGGGGATGCTACACAGGGAGCAACCCAGGGCATGTTGGGGGGGTCAGTGCCTTACTCAGGGGGACCTCAGCAGTACTCCAGATAACAGACCAACTTCCATATTTTGGTCTGCACCCGGATTTGAGCCTACTACCCTCTAGTTCCCAACCCAAGTCCCTTTTGGGTACATTGAAGTGTATACATGCAAGAGTGAATTAACCCCCAACTGCATTATGTGTTACTCTGACTTTGAGAAATTCAACCTAGTACAATTGCAGTTGGTTTAACATGTTCACGTGTATTTTAAAAGTCCAGTTTACAAGCACTAACAAAATAAATGTACTTTTTGTAAAGTCATGTAGACATATTGAATGCTGCTTTGTGTTTCCTCTAGAGCCCTTGGACTACAAATATGTCTGCCGGATTTCTTCTATAGATGCTTAAAGCACATTAAAATGTACAGATTGGTGTCAAATGCCCCAATCATCAGCTGACGCTTAAGTATAGCGAATGAACAATATAGATCTCACATTTGCACTCCAGCAAACACAAACACACACCTTCTTCTTGGCAGAACTCGACTGTATCACAGAAATTCATCAGCGTTCAAATCAATACCTTGTTAAGAACGTAGGAATGAGTTAAAACTTTTTAACATTACCCAATGTGCCACGCAAAGAAAATCAAAAAAGAGAATTAATCTTCCCTTTCTCCAGCATATGAGCTCACTGCAAACCCCTGAATGGAGGGTTAATTACAGTCGATCATTTCAGAAAGCGGCTCTTCATAATCCTTTCTCCACAACAAGTCCTTCCCTGACCTCCAGCATGTCTGCTCAGGTAGAAGGCCAAGTGTTGTTTCTATGTAAGCATATTACCAGCAGATAAACCAGCACCAAGAGACTGTTAAAAAAAAAAACCCACACATCATGTCTGACATTTAAGAGAGGTGGGAGGAAGAGCTGGGTTCAAATGATGACAGGAGAATACGGTTAAGGTTGAACACTTGTGAGAGAAATATAGATTATGTGGAAGGAAAGAGAGAGAACCTGGAGTATTTACCCAAGAGGCTAGAGAAGAGAAAAGTGTCAAAAGCAGGCTGGAAACAGAAAAAACAGGGTTAGAATAAAGAAATTCAAGTTAAAAAATATGAGAAAATTGATTCTTTTTCAAACTTGTGTGTATAATTTGATTTGTATTGAGAAATTCCTTACAGAGACTGAAAAATTGACACACTCAAAAGGACCTTTTTAGGGTTAGGACAAATCGCAGGTTCCATTCAAATATGACAAAAGGCACAAAAAATGTGCTTAGTCAAAAGCCAACCCCATCCTGACTTAAAAAAGAACCACTATATGGTCAGGCAAATGGCTCACTGATAAAAGCCATTGCAACATCCTCAAAAGAATTTGGTGTCCAAGGCAACATTCAGTACAAATCTATATTTGACTCTCATGTAAAGGCAAACATCGTCGGCGTAAAGAGTTACCTGCTATTACCTTTTCTTACCATAGGTGGTGCCAATGAGAACAAAATGAAAATCTTAGGGATAGGGTATGTAAACAGTTGAAGATGCAGCAATTACAGCTACATTTCAAACCCCTTTTTCTGTGTGTTTAGAATGAGTTACTGCTGCTTTGAGATCTCCTAATCCTCTGTATAGATTACAACAAATCCAGGGCAATGATAGCTGAATTGCATGGACACAGACTTTTTCTCAGTTTACTTAGTTTTTTATTTGAAGTGTTCCTTGGTTGAAGAAAATCTGTGGAGGACATTACTTTTTAATAGGGCCCGACCGACATGAGATTACAATACAGTGATAGAAGTCCGATAATGATATTAGGGAGAGAAAAAATCAGATCCTGATATATAGGCAGATATCTTTCGAAAGATTTTCATTCGATCTGTAGAGATAGATATACATATAGACATTTATTGCATTGATCCATCAAATGCAGTTTTCAAACACTTGTGGAAAAGATGTACTGTTTATGAAGACAAGATGTTCACTCAACTGGTAAGTAACTGCATGAGAGCAATAATGCTTGTTGTAATCCATATAGCGCCCTCTGCTGGTGACAAAGAGCCGCTAGTTTAAAAAAAAAAAACTCAAATGAAAGGCTATTTCACTGGTGAATATATATAGTTAAATCGGAGCATATCTGTGATAAAATTATCCGATACCAATAGTCACTGGATATGCTAATATTGGCCGATATTATCGGCTGGCTGATTAATGGGTCGGGCTCTACTTTTTAAATGTAAAAACTTACTGATATTTCCTTTATGTGACGACTTTCACACTTCCTAATCACGCACGGCCTTGTCTCCAGGCCGCCAGTTAACCTATCTTTACAAAGGTCAAAAATGGGGCTAAGCCTGATATTGAAGGCATTTCCTACATGATAATGTAAAAGTTAATCTTTGATTAAATTAGATTATTTCATCTTGAGATGGGGGACACCTTTTTAAAATCGAATCTCAGGGTGGAGATGTGTTTAACGGATGATTTATTGCACTGAATTAATTTGTTCGATTTCAAAGGGCTGTTTCATTACATTTGAAATGACCATATTATCTGATGTTGATTGCATCACTTTTTAAATTGTGTTTTTATGGTTCATAGATCCCATCTGTAATTTAAATCTCCAAGTCATGAGCTGCTTTATTGTGTTTTGCCCTGATGATGAGCACGTCTGATCCTCGTACATATTTACCTTCAAAGGTGCACATGTTGGATTTAAAATAGTTATGACTATACACGCAATAAAACACAGTATAGAAAAAGAGACATAAGAAGAGAAGTAGAAAAACGGCCAAATAATTAGAATAGGAAAAGAATAGAAAGGGAAGATCGAGGAGGAGGAGAGTGTGTTAAAGAAAGGACATACTTCACAATTTTTGCCAGTTTCACCAACACTGACAGTGAAAGAAAGAAAGAAAGCTAAGAGAACAGTGTATGTTAATGTAGGATCAGGGATTATTTGAGTGTGTTCGAGGACATTCTGGAAACTTTTTTATTAGTTTCATTAGATTGAAGTCAATGTGGAAGATGTAATGACAGGGCACGTGTTGTCTTTAAAGCAAGAATGTGCAACATTTTACACATAAATACAGCAGAAATCAAGTATATTCTGTGTAAATGTCTCTCTGAAGCTCGAGTCCCTACAGCTGTGCTGTTGTCAGAGCTGTGTTAACATCATGTTAACATGGACTGGACGGCCTTGTGTATAAATCTGTTTTAGTCAAGGACTAGAGAATAGAAGAATAACATACTCACTGCTTATTTGGATGTCATGTAAGTATCTTTAGATCACGCTCATTCTGTGTCTATTTATGTGCAATGTGAAGCTATGAGTTAACCAAAGTGTGCTGACATTAGTGTGTTAACACAAAAAGGCAGGCCACAATTGCAGCCCGAGCAAAGGACAACTTTGTCTGCTGCTTGCTCTAAATGGTGCTTAAATATGGAGACTCCTAATTGATAACTCCTTCGTGTGAGCGCGAGTGGAGAGGGGTTGGAGGTGTGCTGCTGGAGGAGAGCGGAGGCTTCAGAATAGCGGAGTTGCACATTATTCCTTTAAGAATCCAAACATAAACCTTAATGTCCACAGGGCATGCTCTTTATGTAATGCTGCAGGTTTCTGTCTGACTCAAGTGTAACCCTGATCAGATCCTGCATTACCACAGATGCAAGATATTTCTTTAAGGTTAGACTAATTAGCCTCAGGTCCATCAAGATGAGATCTGTTTTTCTTTACCCTATGCATGCTGGGGCGGGTTTGCAACTCCACAATTTGGACCCTGAACACATCAACCTGGCACTAAATGTGACCTTCTGACCAGTTTTTCTAGAAGCACTGGACCTTTACAGAAGCTGATTCAAATCAAAATTGGCACACAATCCCAAACAAACCCATCTCTGATAGAATCTCTGTTATCCTTTATTAGGGAAACTCCCTCAGAGAGCGAGAGGTTAACTGGGAGCTGGTTTACTGCACTCTCACTGGATTGTTGATTGTATCAGGCCAAAGCTCTTTGCAGAAGATAGCAAGCACATTGAGGATTGGCCTGGATCCCTCCTTTTAAATCTCTGCAGCATCCACCTCTGCCAAATGCTGGCCTGTCTGCACAGAAGGGGACACAGTATATGGAAAGAAAACTCTGTGGCTTTCCTGGTGAAACAAAATGAACACTTTAATACGGCATTGTGCTTGGAGGCCATACACAGAGCTGGGGTTTAACAAATGAGACCACTTTCCATTGCCATCCGTGAGCTGCTGTTCTGGCATGAGGGAAGAGGTTTTTGTTTATGGGATGAATAAAAAAAAAACGAACAAAAAAAAAACAGCGGTTCCTAGAGGTCCAACTAATCCCGGCTTTACATAAATTAAAAAGTGAGAAAATGTGCGGACAAGTGAAGTGCAAACATGCTCCGACTAACAAGTCAACAAATCTTGAGGAGACAAAAAGAGGGCAGCCGGCAGAAGTCGAGGGCGGTTCAACAGTTCAAGAGTTCAGTAGGATGATATAGAAAATAAAGTTTACATACATACAGAGTTTTTCAGCCATTATGTGCAGAGCAAGGAAGGACTTGTCCATTCCAAACATGGAGAAGGTAATAAAGTTCCTCCTCAAGTGTTCATCTCATCAGAAGAGCCACTCCAGCGAAGACAAGAGCCCATCAGTCCCCCTGTCCAAATCTGTTCTTTCTGCCAGTGTGTTTGGCAGCTCTGCATCCAATCCAATCTAATCATTAACCCCTTACTTTTGGTTTCACTTCATGCGACATCCTAAAAAATCTTTATGGGAAATACAGACGCACATAAAAGTTTAAACCGTTGAAGGAAAATGACTTTTAGCATAAATTCAAAACAGGGTGGTAGGGGTACATTTTGGGAGTCTGTGTTGTATGCATACAAGAGGTCAGTGTGTGAAATAAAGAAAAAAAAGGCAAGAGAATGGGAAGGAAAAAAGCGACAGGTTTGGAGGAATAAGGGAAAATGCATCAGTTTGCATATAGATAAGAAATCAGATTCAGATATCTGTTTTACAGGTGCAAAGGTGTGTTCAGACCATAGACAGTTTTTAAGAAGTGGACATAGCTTCTTGGTTTTAAAGTGAAGATGTTGTCGAAGTACCTTAAACCTGCATTCTTACCAACAGCCAGCAGAAGGCGACTCTGTGTTTTTAAAAGAAATAAGACAGATTGTACAGGGAAGTCTATCAGAAGTCCATTTTTCCAATGGTTTCATGGCTTAATTGTTAGTTTCTTATGCTCAGACGATTAGAATAATGTTCATCTTGTTTCCAGCTTCCAGAGTAAAGAGAGTAATATATAGATTAAGAAATATCAGAAAGCAAAGTGTGCTATAAACCGGTCTACTTGTGTTTGGCAAGTTGCGTTCAGGGCAAGTGAGACAGAGAGAGGTGAAACAATCCAACCCTTATGTCTAAATACGTTAACTTTTATATCTGGAAAAACAAGATGGTGATGGCCCGAGAGCCAAAACTCGAGGCTTTCAAAACTATCGTCTGCCAACCAGAGGGTCTCATTGTCCACTTCTGACATACAGTCTATGGTCGGACTGAATTGGAATGAACTTGTAATCTTACTTTACTCACATGATTTTTAAACAAGCTAACCATTTACTAGCAGCGATTAGACAACGAATGTGGAAAACGTATGCCGTAGTTGACAACTTCCATGACTGGACAAGAACCTGACGTATATTCACATTACTTGTTGAACTCAAGCTCCCTGATCCACAGCTGTCTGTCAGTCTGTAAACTTAAAAGAACATATAAATAACAGTAAATAAATAATCTGAATAATACAATATACAAATATATATATATTTTGTACGAGAAATTGTTAAACTGTCCCACTGGGAAGAGGAAAATGGTTTCTATAGCAACTTATCTACTCAATGAAATAAATCAATTAACATCAATAGTGTCATTTTGCCACTAGTGGCAGCATTGAGAACACAGCACATCCGTCAGTGAGAAAAGAAGAAAAATGTGATTTTCAACTGATCTCACACAAAGCTGTGGCAACAACCTCTTGGCATCTTTCAGGTACCTCTATGAGACCACACTATTATAGTTTAAATTGTTGGTACTTCGCATGAAGCCAACCCATTTCTAATAAAGTCGCTCCTGTTCTTTGCAGTTGGCATCCATGGATGTCAGATTTATTTGATAAGTTTGACCTAACCGAAAGATATGTTCAGGTTCCCTCTGATCACCAACCAAGACCTTGATATGTACTTCAACAAGATCAGGACTTTTCCAGCTGCCTCTACCTCCTACCTACCAAAGATCAACGTTGGTTCATCTATTTCAGCCCTTCCTTTTCTCCCACTATACTGATGTAAGCCTGGTATGCATACAGTAACTGTACACGTCTGACAGAGGTTAGTTTGCTACATGGTTATTCTTTCAAAACAGACAATAACAGATCAAGGTAATTGTGTTTTCTCCGACAGGATTTTTCAGGGGTGCAGGTTAGTTTGTTACACCGCTATTTCATCCCCCAGACAGTCAGGAGTCCCCTGTCTGTTGAGAACATTGAGAAGCCTTACTGTCTCCTCGTCCGCCCCCCAGCCAAAGATCTCCATCGCCTCCTCATCGTCCTCCCCCTCACTGTCATCGCTGTCATCCGTATTCGACTCGTACTCCGAGGCGATACCTGACTCACGAAACCTGGCAAAGTCCAGGCTGCCCAAAGATTTGACATCACGGGACAACAAAGACGTGTCCTCGGATACCTCTCGACCTTTGATCTCTGGCCTGTTGGCTTTGAGCGGAGGGGGAGGCGAGGGGAGTCGAGGAGGCGGAGGCCCCTGGAGGAAACGGAAACACTCCAGTTTGAGTAGACACTGGTCCCTACCTAGAGGACTTCCCAGGGTCCCGTTGGAGGATGAGAAGGCGTTACTTGTCCCGTCGTTGGTGCCCAGTGCGGGGAAGTTAAGAGAAGAGACATCTGGTTTTGGTGTGGTTGGATCGCAGATCACAGGAGGTATCGTAGACCTGAAGGTGATCTCCAGCAAACTGTCCTGAGATCCCACTAAAGAGAGATGAGGAAAAAAGAGGGCGAAAATATGATGAATGATCAAAGGGAGGGATCTGCTAAAGAATAGATCAAACATAGCATATAAGTTTAAGCATATAAGTGTGCCTTGATTTAAATTCATCTGCTGTCCTCTCTACTCTAAAGGATAATGGCAGAAAAATAATATAAAAGACATAGATCTCTTTGAACCGTCTGGTGGTTAGGATTCTAACAGAATCAGTCACACAGTGACCAATAAATCAATTTGTGTTTTGTATTGGGTACGTGAAAAAAACAAACATGTTTCAAAGCATTTCATCATCATCATGGAGGCAGCTCTGTGACATGTTTTGCTTCCTCTTAAATAAGCAAACGGTTCAAAACAGAGAAATGTGCATTACAAGAATACTCCATCTTTTAACTGTCAAATGCGAACTCCTGGTCAGCATGAAACATGAAGAACGTTGTGTTTTTCACGCTGTTAAGCTACAGTCAAGTTGGAAACGATAGTTACAAGTCACAAACAGCATCTAATGAAACATCCACAGTAAAGAGAGAAGAGCTGAAAGATGCATAAGAGAGTTGATGGGGAGTACGGTTGTAAGCTGTTCAAGAGAAACAAAAGCCCTGTTTCCACCAAGTAGTCCAGTTTGGATCAGTACAGTTTGGTACAGTTCGGTACGGTAAACCCTTAACTTGCTTGTGTTTCCACACTCAACCGTACCCTTATTTGGTAAGCGGAGTGTAAGCCAGATGGAGATAGCCGAGTCAGCAATGTAATACATCTACATAGCAGCCCAACACATTGTAGCCCGTTATTACAGGGACAAAGTAAACAAGGGACCCTTTAGGGATTCGACCCTTGGCACCCCAACAGGAGGGTACCAAAAAAAGTAGGACGGTATGGATCCCTTATTTTGGTACCATTCCCAACTTTTGACAGTGGAAACGCCAATATATGAGTACCGTACTGAACCAAACTGAACCGGGCCGCTTGGTGGAAACGTTGCTAAATTTAGGACCCTGAGTTTATTCAAATAAATTGCAGAGTAGGTTCCAAATCAAGGCCAATGGGAAGTCTGCAGAGGGTGCATACTGTACATACATATCTACATTCAATTAGTGGTTTTAGACATTTCTGTGAACCTCGTTGTGGTCCATGGTTTTGCCATGTTGACATAGCTGTGACATAGCTGGGCCTCAAAGCTGCTCTTTGAGGAGAAATGTAACTGTGGGTACTGAAAGTAAACTCCACATAAAAATAAAAAATAAATCATCAGAGCCTCCTTTAAACATACTTGTCATGTCTGATATTTAAAACATATGCCTGGATGAGTATTCCTCCAAAGAATGTCAACCTCGAGCATGGGATCCCTGCCATTTCTCTTCTAGCCAGACAGACCTCGTTTCATGCTGTAAAATTGAAGAGGATGCTGTAAAAAAAAAAAAGGCTGTGAAATAGACCTTGCTCATGCTGGATACTTTCTTTTGTGAGAGCAGGAAAAGGACAGGAACTAATAAACCAATGACTACTCCTTCCTATTCAGGGTTTTCAATAAGCCAAGCTAGTGAGCTCGCAGGCACAATCCCACGACTCTGAAACTGACACCTCAGTCACAGACGAAATGCTGCTGTGATGATTTCATTGTGTGTGTGTCTCGAGAAAGGTATAGTGTAGAAATGTGTTGGAAAGCATTGAGCCTTTGGAGGGTATTAGGCCATATAGTAGCTAATAATGCTATAATTACCTAAATAAGTGAAAAGAAAAGAAACTTTGGATCTAAAGAACACTATTCCCGACCTTATGCAAAATGAAGTTCATTCAAAACAACCAACATTCAAAGGTGGCAATGACACAACTACTCCCTCTGCATCCCTGAAATGTTGGCAGATGAGATAAAAGACAGCTTTTTGCAGGGTGACAATTAGAGGGCATGCAGGCCGGACTGCGACTGTCTGTCTGAATATGTGATGAACAGGTTGCGCAGTGTGTAGAGCTGAGAGGAAAGTGACAGAGGGGACAGGGGAGGTGGTGGAACGGAAGAACGCCGACGGAGTGGTGGTGAATGCTAAACAGAGTGTTGAGCGGTTGATGTAACATTAGAAACTAGTCTCATTTTGCTGCTTTGGAGGTTTTCCATTTAGAAGGGTATATAGATCTGAAGTACCCTCTGTCTAAAGTGTACACTTCATGTCTGCTCCTTATCGCTGTAGGTCGGGGCACGCTGGTGGCGCAATGGTTAGGGCCATGTATTGAGACTCTCGTCTCGAGCGGTAGGCCCGGATTCGCTTCCACCCGTGGCCCCCTTCCGCATGTCATTCCCCGCTCTCTCTCCCTGGTTTCCGACTCTATCCACTGTCCTCTCTCTGCATTAAAGGCACGAAAAGCCCAAAATAAATCCTAAAAAATAAATAAATAAATAAATCTTATCGCTGTAGGTCATTGTTAAGTATGGCTGTGTGAGTGTATAGAGTGGATGTTCCCTAACAATGGTCATGTGTACTTACCGGAATAAGGCAATTCAAGATGCCTATTGCCATCTTTGTCCTTCTTCCATGTCTATCTTTTATGTCTGTTATTGCTATGTTACCTCCACAAATAAGTCCATTTTGTCTGCACTGTTGGTTTGCTTTTGAGACAGTTATTCAGTTCTGCTGCTATGTTCACCTGAGAAATACTAAGAAGAAGAAAAAGGTTTGCCTGTACAATTGCTCAATGCCACGAAAACTTTATGAAATCACATTGCTGGATACGCCGTCGTCGACTTCAGCTTTCTGCTCGACGTACCCGCTGCAAAATATCGTATCGAGCCAACAAATACCAAAAAAAAAAAAAATCTAACCGTCATATTTGCTTCCTCCCCTTCCTGCCATCCCAGCTTTGCTTGTCAACCATTTGATTTGTACATCTTTATTCAAAAAGTAAAAACAATCAGACACTTCTAGAGTCCCTCAAGAGGGATCCTGCGTAGCACTAGTGGTACTTGCACCACAGCTTGAGAATGAATGTTTCAGTGCACAATGATTTGGTGGATCACTCCTCCTGAGTGTTTCTTCATGTTTTCCTTTTTGAATTGGGTCAAGTTGCTTTGACAAAAACCTGTTGCCCGTTCCACATTTCCCCTTTGAGGATACTTGCTTTTTCTTATTTCCTTGTTGAAGCTAACAAACGTCTCATAAACAAAATTCTATTCATTCATATCATGTCTTTTTTCTTCTTCCTGTTTATGAACATCTTACATGTTGACAGGAGTGCATAATGTGTTTCTAAACTCACTGGAGTGTGGTCCGGACATCTTGGTCTCCAGCTCCTGGATCTGTTTAACCAGCAGGGAGATGTGCTGCAGCAGGTCTTTGTTCTGCAGCAGCAGCTGGTGGACTCGAGCCTGAGCCTCCAGGCGAGCAGTGGCCTCTGCACTGAGCTGGTCCTTCAACAGATGGACCTGAGTTCAGAAGAGAAAGACAGAAGCGGAGGTGAAACATGGGGGGTTAGGAAGCGGTGCAGAGTGGAGTGTATTCAAACTTTTTTTGTCCTCAGGTACGGCTCTTAAGTCAGCACCGCTGTCCCTTATCTGAATTCTACAAACAAATATTGCTGTGTGATGTACACAGCAATATTTAAAGGTGAGGGTCAAACTGTGTTTGCTCTTCAAACATCCTTTGCTTGTCGAGGAAATAAAGAAGTGAGTTCTGTTTGCTTTAAATATTTGAGTAAAGATAAACAGGTGAACTAGAACACACACATACTCTACCGAGCTTTTATTCAGCTCATGTTTTCCTACATGGCAAACATTAAAAACCGGTGCTCTGAGGGGAGCTTTTTATTCATCTGTCATCTTTAGACAAAACCCTGATTTAAACCAAAGGCCTGCTGTGGAAGCCTCTTCATCAACTGTAATCTTTTCTATCACAAACTGAGTGTTAAGTTGACATTTGGGGAAAGTACCACAAGCAGCAGTGAAAAATAATTGGACGACAGGATGAAAACAAACATTAACTGTTGTTAAGTATGATGCTTGTTTGTGTGTTTTTTTTTTTTTTTTAAACCAGGTAAATCATCTGTAATTACAGCTTTTCACCACAGACGTCACCAAATGTACCAGTTAGTGTGCTTATTACCATAATATGTTAAAGGTCACACTTTATCATTTTTAGCCAGTTTAAATAAGTCTCAGAGCTCCAGAAAACATTTCTAAGAAGGGCTCGAGCCGATCCCAGCTGTCATTGGGCGAGAGGCGGGGTACACCCTGGACTGGTCGCCAGCCAATCACAGGGCTGACATATAGAGGCAGACAACCAGCCACACTCCCATTTAGAGTCACCAATTAACCTAACAAGCATGTCTTTGGACTGTGGGAGGAAGCCTGAGAGAGCTCATGAGCAGGCACGGGGAGAGCATGCAAACTCCACACAGAGGCCCTATCTGATGGGGGATTCGAACCAAGAACCTTCACACTGTGAGGCAACAGCACTAACCACTTGCCATTTCTGCAATCACGTCATTACAAATGACGAACAAGCCCAATCCACTGTATGTGTAATGTAAGAGTTTTTTTTTTTTTTTTTTTGCTGTAATGAGGAAACAGGGAAGAAAAGTTGAAACACTGATCAATGAGGATTCAGATGAGCCGAAAATGAGAAGTATAAAATCTTAGATTACAGAGAAGAAAATCAAAAACACACAGTATGACAGGCTGAATTAACGCTCACATGAAAAAAAACTTGTGTTTTAATTAGTCTCCTAAAGAGCTCATATCTATGAAATATGAAAGAGGCACATGGATAGATCTCTAAAGGGATAAATAAGTACACTCTTTTTAAATAAAATATTATCTTTAATGGGAAACACATCAAAAAGCATGTATTTTAAAATGTAACTCGTTTCATCTATTATCTAAATAAATAATGAGGCGAGAGGCTGCGGGACGCTGCTGACTCAGCTCAGCAGGTGGCAGTGATTGATCAAGCTCACAGTGTTTTTACCGCGAGTCATTTATCAAAGCTCTGTCAAGAACATTCAGACAACACCTGAGTGTTTATACAGTCAGAGCAAAACAGATCAATCAGTGACAACGCGGCCAATATGTGTGAAAAGGCACCTCATAAACATATGCATGAGGCTGAAGTCTGACGATCAATAGACTTGGACGAGTTTAATTTACAGCACTGAGGATGAGGCAGTTATCAGTTAGATGCTGAGTGATGAGATGTGAGTTTAAACATGTTTGGACTCAGACTCAGTCTTGACATATGGATGGTTGATTTACAGAACCTAAAGGCAGAGCTGGTCATTCTGGAAAGCTAGCGATGTTTGAATTGTAACATCTCCTCAAGGCTCCATCTGAACCCACCCTCTCCCCCGGGGGCTCCTTCAAACGCAATGGTTATCACAGCTACGTTTTTTGGACATCACTCGTTAGACATTTTTTACACATTTGCACTCCTGAAAATGTCTAGGAACTAGAACATACTGGTGAGCAGATAAGAGAATGAAGCAGCTTCACCAACATGATGCCGGATGCCCATCAGTCGCATGATGTAAAAGTCATCCCCCTGCCTGCTCACTCAAGGTGAAGGCACCTGAACATTTCCTGCTGCGTTCACACATCGGTCAAACCAAACTTTTAACTAGGAGGATGGCGGGAAAAATCCAGGTAAAGTTAGGCGAAAAAATGTGCCCGTTGTTTTTTCACCCAACAGTCAAATTCGTATTTAAAAAAAATCGATTTAAACTTTTTTTTTTTAGTTTTTTTTTTAGTTTTTTTACTCGCATCAAACACAATCTGAGGAAGACATAACCCCTTTCAGCCGACTGATTCTGGCAGACCAAACACTGCTAAGGGATGTCACTTGTGATTCCTTTTTTTTTTAGGGCAATGTGCATCTATACACTAAGTTTCTATTTTTCAGCTCCATCATTTTCTGCTTTATCTGCATCATCGTGAGAATTTATTGCATTTTTTTCTGCATGTTCAGCACCTTCTTTATCATTTAAAAAAATCTCAATCATCTTCAGGAGTATCTTCATCATCTTCATTTTCATCATCTTGATCATTCAACAACAAAAAAAATGCAAACTGCGCACATCACAGCTTTCATCAGTCAGTTGTAAGCTCAATTAGGCATCAAGTTAACTCATGATGCAACAGATAATGACTTGACATTTATTTACCTGGAGTCCTGAAGATGATAACGTTGGCTGTCTTATGTAAAATGACGATTTCTTTACGCAACTATTCCTTCAGCCAAAGGCAGTTTTCCCTTTCAGACAATAAAACAACCATGACTGCTCTTAGGAGTATTCTCTACTTTGTCTGTTATGTCATTAGACAACTCAACCCCTCTGGTATTATAATCAGCAGACTTAATGATGATTAAAGTTCTAATATTGGATATGTGATCTCTTTATATGACGCACACTTTCAAGCAGTCAAGCTGAAGGTAATGGAAAGAAACACGAGCCTACTCGATCCTGTAATGACTTTGCCTTTTGTAGGTGTCAATAACATTTTTATGACACAGTAGCAGAGCTCAAGTTGCTGCTGTGATCCTCATGCAACCTCAATGCCTCCGTCTGCAGCTGTGGGCAATAAAACACAGACTCTATTTCAATTAAACACTGAAAGGTGTAAAACTTCCATTACTTTCTTTTTATACGAGGGGGTGCAGGAAAAAGACACCATTCATTTAGGGCACACGTCCAAATCCACACACATATGCAATGTCTCGCTGCTCCCCCACAGTCTGTCCAGCAGTAATGACTCTCTACTCTCTTCCTCTCTGTATCAAATGTTAGAGTCCCCACCTCCCAACTTTTTCTCACACCTCCTACCCTGAGATCATAATCACTTTCATCAGTTTCAAAAGGAGACATTTTCAAGGTATCAAATGAAAGCCCGTTTATTAATGATATTCTGATATGAAGCGATGGATTTCATTGCATTAATGACCCTCGACTTCAAACATGGTCATGCAGGATTTCATAGGTCAGCTGTTGAAGAGTGTTGAAGATGTTTTAATCCTTATACAACATAAGTTGTGGAGAGTATTAATATATTAATTGATAAGCAACTGTCTACAATACTGTCGCTGGCGGTCGAGCGGTTAGTTAGCACGCCCCATATGCAGGGGTTGTAGTCCCCGAAGCGGAATAGCCCAGGTTCAAATCTGACACACTTGTTCTCACAAAAACACCTTTACATCAGCTATCTTGTAAGTAACATGGTTTTAATTCATATTTGCAAATCTAATTTTGACAAGCTAAAAGTAGACAAAGCCTCACCCCCCCCCCCCAAGATCTTTGGCGCCCTCCTAGGTGGGCCCAGACGCCAGGTTGGAAACCAATGTGTTACTTTGTGTTATATTAACATATTAGGGATCGAAAAAAAAGGACCATTCAGATCACCAAAGTCTCAAAATAATCCAGTCAAACTAACAGATCGAGACAGCGGTAGACCAGCAACTCCCATATGTTGCAATGTTAAATGACTGTTTTGTCTACGAGGTCTGGTGGCTTTAAAAAAAAAAAAAAAATTTGGGAAACCTTATTTTAACAAAAAGGCTTATCTATGTAGCTTTCCATTATGAGCATTAAGCAGAAAAACAAACAAACAGGCAAGCAATGCACCACACTTCAAACACAACAACTGTAGACCAGGGTTTAACACTTCTGAAGCCGTCACAACGTTTCCTTCTCTTTCTTTAGCTGCTGCTTTAATTAAGCTATGATTCCTGATTGAACATAAAAATAGATCACAATCACCAGAGTGCGTCTGAACGGGTGCACACCAGCTACCCGGGACATTAGTGGGCCGCAAGAGTCAAGCAGAGAGTCGAGAGGCACGAGGCCTCACGTGGAGGAGCATGTCATAACTCCTAACGGCCCCCCGGTCTCTCGTTTCAGTCTGATGTGGTAACACAGAACTCGTTACCGTGGCAGCACAGAGGCTCTCGGCTCTTGACGTCAATGGAGACACAAATCAAAGGACAAACTACAAAACAAAGCGTAATTGGTAATTGAACAAAAGCCCAAGGTCACCTCAGGATTCCCTTTAGAAAACGTTCCAGAGAGTCCTTCAGCGGTTTTATATTAATGATTTAAAGCAAATATTTATATGGATGTCGTCTGTTGCTGTGCATGTTGTTGGTTGTGTGCCTCTAAGTAGCATATTTATGACGAGGGTTAATGATGTACTCGCTAAAACGTCTAACCTTAGTGTATTTTCTTCTGATAATTATTGCTCTGCATGCTTTTCTACCTTTTCAATTTCATTTTTTAATCAAAATTTATTTTTTCTTTTTGAGTGACTGTGTTCAACAGTCAAGGTAGTACAAATCAGAACAACACAGTCTACAGAAAAGCTGGAGTAGACCATTTTTTTGGTAAGCAATATATATATCTTTTTTTTACAGCTACACCTACATTTTTAAAGCGCTCGTTCGG